CAGCTGGAGCGGTGAGTGAGTCCCTGCTGGGCTTAAACTCGCCGATAATGGGTATATTTCTTTACAGTATGTTGTGTGTACCGTATACTGCTGTGCTTTGTCTCTTTTGAGACACTTTATTGGAAAACGTTATGTATGTGACGCAAAGTTTGCAGTGGAATTGCTTTCTGTTTCGGCTAATGGCTAACTCTGAAGAAGTGAAACTTTAGAGGAGAAAGAAAAGCTGTTACCAATAAAAAAAAGTAACTTTTCACTGAGGATTTCGCTTCATCAATATAATGTTTAATCTACAAGATGTACGTGGTCGGTTGTTGTCGACGACCTACTGTAATTTCCCGGGTTTTGTCCATATGTATGTAAGTTCGGTGGCTAAGTAGCCTGTTAGCCACACATTGCATCACAACCAGGAAGCAGCGGTGCGGACCTGCGATAATAGTGAAATTAAATATAAAACACTGGTAAGCGCCATCCGGTCACCCACCGCCTTGTTTGGTGTTTTTAAACTGTTCACAAACTTCATTACTACATATAAATATTCTAGTTGTCACAGGCGCTCAGTCGATCATTTAGGGAGTCCACCCCAGCGGTCTCCGCGTTCTCCGCACAAAAGTTATTTGAAAGTTGATTTTGATTAAACCAAAGGCGTAATACAGCGCCTTTTAGGAAAACAATGAGAGAAAAATACTTGCACGTTAGTTGGGTTACTTTTCTTTGTTTCTTAACCCTTCAGATCCCATTTCTTGGACGGACTATGAGTAATAATGACGCATCCGGCATCCTTTAATGGGCTTTAGTTAACCCGGCCCCAAACGCCTATCTGGATTCTCTGCTGGAGCTGAAATTGCTCATTAAGAAGGAGATATGGCAGGATCTTTCAACATTTTACTTTTATATGTCTTGTACATAGCTGGTGAGTTGTTGCTGTTGTGGTTTTTCTGTTGATATGAAATGTGGTATAAATTGTCAGGATTCCAACTCCAAAATAAGGAAAAAAATCTTGTAATAAGAATTATAAATTTTACTAAAATACTGTAAGAACATTTCTGGTGGTTCAGTTGGTAGCACTGTTCTCTAAGGGTCTACTCCTATAGTACAAAGACACGCTGTTAAGATAACTGGTAGCCCTAAACGGCCTGTAGTATCTGATTGTAGTATCCTGTGAGGGACTGGGAGTGAAACTGTGGTGGGGGGATGTAGGGAGGTGTTTTGGTCCTGCTGGTTCACTCAGATCCTCGCTGAGATCCTCTGACTTCTGTTTGCAGCTTGTGGAAACATGCAGCTCGCCTCCAGCACCGGTGAGTTACTCCTCCCCATTTCCATGTCTTGCGTAGGGCCGGCAATCCGATATCGATTTTTATGTAATAAAGTTTTTTTAATTCACGTTTTGGCTTTATAATATACAGTGGTACCTCAGAACTCTAAAAAGTTTGAGTTCTGATCAAATTTTCCCCATAAGATATAATGGAAAACCAATTAATTGGTTCCCGGCCCCAAAAAATTACACCTAAATGTTTTTTTTAGCATTTAGACACAAAATGAACAGGATAAAACAAGAAGAGCATATACTGTACTAAACACATCTAAGCACATTTATCAAAACAGTAATTTATTAAGAAAATAAATGTATCCAAATGATGTGTAAAGTTAAAAACCAATGTGCCCTGTCCTGATCGTCCGCTCCTTCCGTGTGCCACGCCCCCTCGTTAACCTCGTGTGGAATTTAGTCCACGTTTCAGTTTGTTTCTCCAGTCCGATCATTGTATTGTCCATCTGTGTTTTGCCTGCCTTACCTGTAATTAAACTCCGTATTTCCCAATACCCTGACGTCTGCGCCTTTGTCTCTGTTCCGTCCCCGCTCAGCACGACAATATTATTATAATTAAATGTATTAATGGTTTATTATTAATGATATTAAAATAATTAATAAGAAATCTTTATTTTTAAATGTATTTTATTATATAATACTGTTACTGTCTATCATTGTCTAAATATGTTTTTACTGTCTAAATATATGTATTCAGCTAGTGTAAACATGCACGATGCTATCACAGCAAATGCGAGGCTGAGACTGAAGCGTTACCCTTGGTTTCTGCTGAGAGATGTGCCGCGTGACTCATTTCCCCGTGCGTGCAAGTTATCTTAGGTCGGCGTTCACGGTTTGACTTCTGAGATTCAGATCGAGTTCTAGGTAATTTTTTTTCGAACTCGTTTGTTTGACCTTTAAGAAATTCAAGTTCTAATGAGTTTGAGAACTGAGGTACCACTGTATTTCATTTGCATACTTATTTATTTGACAGTGCATAGTGAGAGTAATAACTGATTTTGTGTTTTGATACTACTTTACAGTAAGATTACCCTTAAAGGGTTTATGAATGGTCTATATTCAGATTATTAATTAGGTTGTAACACTTTGTAAATCAGTGTTTTTTTTAAATTAATTAGTTACTACCATTTTTAAGTGGCATACGGGAGTCTTACTGTAAAGTAGTACCTGTGTTTCTGTATAAAAGGTGTTATTTTCTCGTGCTTTTGTTATACCAGCCAGTTGTTTTGTGTATAGTTGAGTTGTGTGGCCATAAAACAGTATTTCTGTCTCTTTCTCCTGCTCTTTGGTATTCAGGGCACTGTGAAAAGTCTCCCAAGGTCCTCATGGCTAGGCAAGGCGAGATCCGGACCACCCCCCACCATAGCTGGCTCTCCCGGCAACTCAACTGCACCTGGCTGATCACTGCGTCCGTGGGAGAGCCTGTCATCCTCAGGTACCGTGCACCCACACCATTTGGGAGTCTCGCCTGGTCGCTCTCTTTGCGCTCACTGCAGGCTGCTCGGCATCATGTTGTTACGCAGCAGCTGCAGTCACTGTGTAATTACTGTCCATATGCAGCAGTGCTTTGCATATGGTTCTCTGTGTTCAGCTTGAAACTGCAGTTGTTGTGGGGGGGGAGCTGGTGTTCATTTTAGTGATAAGATTATTTAGTACAAGGGGGGATGCAGTGGGGTCGGTCAGATAGAGGGGATGTCCAGGAATAGGGGTTACGGCCCAGCCCTGGGTCCCCTAGTCTATGATGTGCTCGTCTATAGCAGGGGAAGAAGAAAACCGGGATTAGAGAGTGGAGGTGAGTGTACAGGCTTTTAGCCAGCATCCAATGCGGAGCGGGTTTCACCTCTCTGGAGGTCCTGCTAGTCCAAGCTGCACTCTTCTGCACCTGAGGATGCACCCCTTTACGCTGCTCCTCTGCTCCTGAGGATGCACCCCTTTACGCTGCTCCTCTGCTCCTGAGGATGCACCCCTTTAGGCTGCTCCTCTGCTCCCTGCTGTGCGGCATCCTTCCTAAGCAGCTATAGTTGACTGGGGCTGGGGCTCCCATCTGGCTGTCAGTCGTTCTGTGCGGACCCCCCCCCTATCGGGCGGCAGGTTAGCGGCGGTCCAAGAGGGGACATCGTGACACGGTACAAGCTCATACTGCGAAGTTAGGTACTGGAGGTGAGTCGCCTATGAATATAGCTCATTTCTCTCTCTGTCTGCTTTGGCCAGTTTCTCACAGTTCATAGTGCCATGTGGGGTGGAGCGGCTGTCAGTGACTCCTGCAATCGGCAGCCCTGTTTCCCTCTGTGGATCCCAGATCCCGCGGCCAATGGAGCTGTTTGGGGGAAATATTTCTTTGACGTACCATTACTTCTCGCACGTGTACCTGTCATCGGGGTTCCATCTCTCCTACATGCGAGGTACGGCATTTCCTGGCCCTTTTGGCTGCCCAGCTTTTAGTTGTGTTAGTAGTGTAAAGCAAATCTAAAGATCATAACAATGCACATGTTTCTGCTGTCACTCCTCCTGCAGCATCAGGCCCCTGCGCCCCGGATGAGTTTGAGTGTCTCAGTGGCCGCTGCTTGCCATCCGCCTGGCGCTGCAATGGGCGCAGTGAATGCCTGCTGGCTGGATCAGATGAGAAAGGCTGCGAGGGTCTCGCTGAGCTCTCCACGGGGACGAGCACTGGGACCACAGCGATGGGCCGGCAGTCCAAAACTGCCCAGGATGGAGCACGAGTGGATGGAGACTTGCGATCACGTGGCGGTTCTGTGCCCAGTACGCGTATCACCCCAGTCCGTGCCCCCGGCGGCCCCTGCGGAGGACTCCAGAAGGGCTTCTACGGCTGGTTCTCTTCCCCGATACTGACTGGGCCCGCTTTGCTCTGTGTGTGGACCGTGGATCCTCAGGACCCCCGGCCGCTGCGCTTGGACCTGCAGCTCCTGGAGCTGGGCCCAGGGGACACGCTCACTGTCACGGACCAGCCTCAGAGCCAAGGGAACATCATCAAAACCGTGAGTCCACTCTTAAGCCTGGCAGCATCATTTGCACCTGCTGAAAGTGTTTCCTTACGTTGCCTTTTAGCTAGAAAACAGCAGCCTGTTTGGCATAGTTCATATTTAATGGGATTTTGGAGCTGTGACACCATAGCTTTAGAAGTTTAAGGTTCACGTCGAAGTTCTGCTAGCTTGCACTCTTAACCAAGCCTTCTCCAGCAGATTACCTACGCATCGAATTACAAGCCAGTGCAAGTGGTGTCCCGGACGGGCCTGATCTCCTTGACCTATCAGACTCAGCAACACTCGGAGGGGCGGGGCTTCAATGCCACCTACCGCATCGTGGGATACTGCCTTCCCTGGGAGGGCGTGTGCCGCGGGCCAGCAGGCGGCTGCTACACACCTGAGCAGCACTGCGACGGGCACTGGGACTGCCCTGAGTCCGGCTCCGATGAAGATGGCTGTGGGGGCTGCCTGCAGGGCTTTTTTCTGTGTGGGGGGGCTGCAGCGCAGAGGCCTCCCGGGCACTTTATAAGCCGGCCGATCTGCTACTCCCCCAAAGAGAGGTGCAACTACCAGCTGTACTGCGCTGATGGCAGTGATGAGAGAGAGTGTACCGTCTGTCAGCCTGGAACCTTCCACTGTGACACTGACAGGTGGGAATGCTTGTGTGTGTGTGTGTGTGTGTGTGGAGAAATATTGTGTTCAAGAACAGCTATGACCATGAATACACATAACTGGTACGCATTTGGTGTATGGAGTAATAGAGGCGGCAATTTCTTGGTGTAACGGCAAATGCACATAAAGTAAGCACGCATTTGCTCTGTTATAACAAGAATTTACCATTAATTTTAATCTGCAATTGAAGCACTCATCAGCCAGGAAAAGGTTAAAATGCACTGTAATTTCTGGTAATAGCAGTACAAGTGTGTACTTGTATGTACTATAGTTGTTACACCAAGAAATCGCTGCATATGTTGCTTTATTCGCCAAATGTGTACTTGCGGACCAGTTATGTATGTCCCTGCCTATGGCAGTGTTATTGCTGTGAACGGCTAGCATCGGGTGCTCAAGTGATGCTTGTGGTCTGTGCTGCAGGTGTGTTTTTGAGAGCTGGCGATGCGATGGGCAGATGGACTGCAAGGATGGTGTGGATGAGATGAACTGCACAATGACCCTTCCTCGCAAGGTCATCACCGCGGCAACAGTGGGCAGCCTGGTCTGCGGGCTGCTTCTGGTCATCGCCATGGGCTGTACCTGCAAGCTGTACTCCCTGCGCACACGAGAGTACAGGTCTGCACAGCCTGCGTTCCCATCTTTCCCAGCCCCTACACTAGGGGTTCCCACCTGTATTACACTGGGCTATGGATCGATAAACACTCTTGGGCAAAAAAATGAGCCAAACACAAATTGCAGAACATTAAACTCTGGCCCATTTTGTCCCTAGGAGTGTATTATTTTTAAGACACCTCTAATATTTGTGTGCTTTCATTGCAACAAGAAAAAAATGGAAACGGTTAAACTTATTAAATCTGACCTGCACTCCAGCAGCCCTGAGTAATGAGTATGCTTTCTTAATGCTTCCAAAACTGGTGTTGCTGACCAATCTGTCTCTGTCCGCCTATTGGTCCTGTAGTATGTTTGCGCCAATCAGCCGACAGGAGGCGGAGCTCATCCAGCAGCAGGCCCCACCCTCTTATGGACAGCTGATTGCGCAGGGAGTCATACCTCCAGTCGAAGACTTCCCCACAGAAAACCCAAATGAGGTGAGCTCCGAACCCAGACAGAATTGACTCCGGTTTTGAGAAGCCGATGTTGAAATGCACAAATATTTTGTCAGAAAATGCAGCGTTTTTCAAGTCGATTAGGACAGCTAGCAGTACATGTGGTGGATTGCTGTAGACATTCTGAGTGATCTTCTGGTTCCGTTTCCCAGTCCTCTGCGCTTACGCTCAGAGGAATCCTACAGCTCCTCCGACAGGACCCTGGCTCCTCCCCCAGACGTAGGCGACGACCCCGGTTTGTCCGGAGGGCAATTCGACGCATGCGAAGGTGGGGTCTGATCCCCAGGTCTGTGCCAAGGGCCACACAGCCAGCAAACTCCTCCCTCCAGCCGGTAGAGGATTCTCCAGCTGGCTCAGAGGCCAGCCAGCCTGGTCCCGGGGACTCCACCTTGGCAAGTGACGGTGTCCAGCAGCCGCTGCCTCAAAAACCGGGCCTCCTTTCCCAGGCAGAACAGCCAGCTCTAGCTCCTCCACCCCCGCCTCTGCCAGTCCAGGCCCCGCCTCCTCCCCCAGATCCTCCCTCTGCCCCACCCCCCAGAAGCCCTCCACTGGTTTCTCTCTTACACTCCCTTGGGCTCAGCATCTCGCTGTTCCGCTCTGGGGGTGCCACACCCACCTCCATCACGCTCTCGGCTTCCCCCTCCTCTTCCGAAGATGAGGTCCTGCTTATCCCGCTCTCTGACGATACTCCCTCAGAGGAAGATGTGCCTATGCTCACTTGAGCCCGTTTGCCATTCCCTCCAGCCCCAACTAAATTATGACCCCAGTAGAGAGCACTGCAGGAATACTCAAATTTGGCCCACCTTTCTGTGGGTCTAGTGCCTTAATCTGATTGGGCTGTTTTTTATATAAGAAATGTATATTTTGTGATTTGTTGTATGAGTTTATTAACCTCCTGCAGAGACTGAACCGAATGGTTTTTTTTGCGTGATGGTGTAGCAGAAAGTATGCTTGGCTTAGGTGAGCCGTCAGTGATGATCACATGCTGATGTGGTGGCCGGTTTTGCACAGAGACCGTCTCGTCTTTGACCTCCTTTCTGGTTTCCGTAATCTGTTCTTGACATGGCATGTGTCCCTGACATTCTTGCATTCATAAAAATATATCTAGTTTAGCTTTTACATAATCTGAGAACTGCTTGTTTTTACAGAGGAGCACAAACACACACCCAGTTTCAAACAGTGTTCTTCCACACAGAGAAATAGCATGTAAATGGCAAAAGGCCCTGTTTGTGAGCTCACTCAGCCGTGTCCCTTTACATCACTAATCTCCTTGTAAGGCTCTCTCCTGCATCTTCGTTTGCCTTAGAGTCAGTGCGTAAACAGGCTGGCCAAAATACACACAAGACTAGGGGATCGTCTTTGATTAAAGTGTCTTTCTGTGAAGCGTCCGGTTCTGTGCTGTACTGGTTACTGTCCCATCAGTTACTTGTTGCTGGCAATCAGCACTTTAAAATTGCACTGGTGCCACTGGCTTTGGGGCAATAAACCGCAATGCGTGTGCTGAGGAAGTGCGAGAGTGAGAGTGTGTCCTGTTAGTGAGAGCTTTGACATGGATGTTCACCCAGACACTCGAGTGCCTGAGTTCTTGACGTCCCACTATAGGAACGTGCACCGTGAGGACACTGTCTCCCGGGATTGCAATGCTACCACAATCACTATGATGCAAACTTGAATCCTATTGGCTTGCCTGCCTTCCCCATTCCACTGTAGTAAGGCTTTTAAACTTAGCTGCTGGACTTCTAGACTGTGCCAATAAATGTGCTGTTTTGCCTTTTTATCTTTCAGTTTAAAAAATGTGCTTTATGTTCCTGGTTTTACTGAATGTACTTTAAATGCAGACAGATCTGGCTTTTTGATACTGATCTGAGAGTAAACTTTCACTGTATATAAATATTGGAGAAGCAGCAAAATCAAAGGAGATTAAATGAATTGCACTTTTCATGTGTTTGAGTGTGTTTTTGTATCTGCTTGTTATCTGCCATAGCCTATTTATACACCCTGCTTAAATAAAGAAATTATACTACTCTGTATATGACACCGCGTAAACACCATTCAGAATTACAGCAACGGTGATTTTTGAAGTTGAACTCGGTGCCGTGTTGCGGACATGATAGGTGTACGGACCCGTAGCTGAGACGATGAGTGAGACGCTCTGTGTGTAAATTACGGGTCACGTGTCCACAGCACAAAACACAGTGTTACAATGATGTGGTGTGAGAAAGAGGCGGTGAAGGCGTCGAATTAATGGCTTTCCTTTGAGAAAGGAGGCGGAGAGAGACCCAAGCAGGTGGTATGAAGGAACGAGGTGTTAAAGGTAGCGATTCACCTCCGGTCTTCTGGAGGGGAGGAGGAGCCTAAATGAGACTGAGATTTCGGAGCTCGCCTACTGCCGCCCTTCAAGCACACAAGCTACCGGACATCGCTGCCCCGCACCGTCTTTTAGGTGTAGAGGTACATGCAACGGATCTCGGTCTGATCGTCCGGTATTATTATTTTTTCCATATACAAACTTATATGGATGAGACTTTGAATCATTTCGTGAACAGAAGGAGACAATAAAACTGGAACGGTGAGTACGTAAAAAAATCCCCTATTGCAATCATAATTTTATTTTAAAATACAAAATGCTATACAGAAAAGTCAAATGTTAGGTGGTAATAATGGTTTTAAAAATTGTCATATATATTACTAATAGCTAATTATAGCAAGTGTAAGATTCGACAGTTGGAAAACTTCATGGCGATACAAACCGTTACCTACGTAGCTGAGTTAAAGAGTATTTATAGTTTTTCGTTTTTAAAAACATTCCACCTTCCAATGCCAATAATAATAGTGTAAAATCACTACAGGAAAAAGAAAATTTAAAACTTTAAAAACCTGTATTCATAAATACTGGGATGCAATAATGTATTGCATCCCATCCAACATGTCCCTGTGGGGCTCTTAAGGGGTAAAAATGGGCAACTTGGTGGGGCCCAAACGGGTTTGGGCATCGACTCCAAATGTGTTTTATTTATGTAATCTTACATCCAAAAATGACACCCAGGAGTGGTCATTCTCTTCCGAAATCATTTACAAAATATTAAATCAAAACACTGGCACACTGTAAATATGTTTCCTCCTACTAATTAAAAATTCTTAACTGGTTACAAAAGCACTTTTAAATCCCACACAGGACATACTTGGGCAAACTCATGTGGGTCCTCCATGGAACTCATGTCCAAACCCAATTTGAATCAATCATATTTCCCATTTACAACAGAAACGGCCCCACATGGAAATATTGTCAGGGTCCTATATGGATCCAGTCAGGATAGCCCAAATGGGCCCCATTTCTAACTCATTTAGATCCCACCCTGAAGCCACTTGGGCAAATGCACATGGCCCCACTAGGTTGCCCTTTTTTACCCCTTATGGGCCCATATGGACATGTTGGCTCGGATATTGAAACTTCAGCTTAGTATCATTGCTCCTAAGATTTTTCATAATCAATTTTACAATATATACATATTAATATGTGAGAGAGTCCCTCCAAATGTAAGCCAGCTATCACCCTGTTTTCCTCCAGGACGATGAGGAAGATTTTCCTATGGCTGCTATTGCTTTGCCTTCCAACGGCCTTTCAGAAGTGCATTTTTGATGATATCCAGCCATGGGTCAGAGTAGTGAGCCCATTGCCAAATCAGCCTACCTCTCCCAAACACACAGGAGACAATCAAACCAGGAACACTAATCCAAAGGCTCCTCAACGTACCGACAGAGTCGTGTCCCAGAAGCACCAGAGGATAATCAGGCAAATTACCTCAAGGACACAAAGTAATTCATCAGGTCTTCTGCCAATCAGAATAAGAACATGGATTCCTCAGGAGAGCTTTGCCCTGTCACATGTGGAAAGAGAGCGACTGGAATTGGCCACGTCCAAGGCTGTCGGAATTGTATCTGACATCCTGTCAGGTACTGGGAACTAAAGTTTGTTAGATGTAAGAACTGGGCATATATCTATATTGCCACGTATCATGCAACCATATCTAAGCTGGTGATGAGGTGTGGCGTAGTGGTGCGCGATTGAAAAATTTGGGGGAGACATTCAATCTGTAATTTTATTATCTGGGTACCTGCCTGGTCGGGAGAAAACTGGATGGGGTTTAAAACTCATAATTTCACTACCTGACACTAATGACTGTGCACTAATGACTTGTGATCCTCATAGTGGACAGAATCCCTGGTCGGATGTTGCTCAGTAGAGACATCAACAAGTTCTGCAAGTTCATCTGGAAGGACGCTGCTGTCATCAACTACAACAAGTCTGTGAGCCTGTACTTCTGACCTTGATGAAATGTGTGCTTGACAGTTCGCACGTTCACAATACATCTGTGTGTCAGGATTATGAAAAATGTGTTTGCCTGCTGGCGCCTCTTAGAGAAACCTAACTGGGTTGCTGTAACCTATCAGTCACCTTCTTCTTAATTAGGTGTGCGAGAGCCAATGAGAACTACAGAATGGAGAATTGCCTCGATGTCACTGTGAGTAGCATGAGAGGATTCATTCATCTGTTCACGTCACCCCACTGATGCCCCTAACACTAGAGGGCACTCTTTCTGACTGTCCTGCCCCCTTCCTGAATGGCAGATCCCTGATGACCACCTGAGTGGCTGTGGTGTTTATCTCCACCCAAACTCCCAAACCATGCTGGTTCTCAGACCAGAGGGCAGGGGGCTTCCTGACACAGACTTTGTGCTGTATCTTCACACCCGCAGTACCGACAAGTGCCATGCAGAAGTAAGTGACCAATTGTGGATGAACTTCTTTTTGTTGTAATGAAGTGGGTAGGTTTGGTTTCAAAATTGGTAGGGACCAAATGTGCCTCGACCCCCCCGCTCCCCTAAACACACATGGAACTCCTACAATATTGCTAGGCACATATTCCTACCACCTGTACCCAAATCTATGCCCCTGGTTGTGATGTTTCTTCAAAATTCTCGCATCCAATCCAAGGTGCCTCCTTCTTTGTGCCCAGTGTCTTCTGAAATAGGATATAAGATTTGGCAAGATCTGAGCAGACCTGCATTGGATAAGTGGATATGAAATATTGAGGGATGAAGTTGCACCTCATACATCATCTCTGTCCTCATACATGGTGGCTTCTCGTACTCTCCAACCCCGCAGCCTGGTGTTCTAGCTTACGCAGCCCACTGCCAGACAGATCGACGTGGTCGGCCACTGGCTGGAGTTGTCGTCATCTGTAGGAATGCGTTTCATGGGGAAGGTTATAGCCATTCCCGCATGGTGCAGGTAACAGTGGCGCTCTCTTGCTGTTACTAGAAATAACATTACTCCTGTTACATAAGTACCACTGTCATACTCGTGCCGAGACTACTGGTAATACTTCTTATACTTTTACTATTGTCATTAGTAAAGTGCATTAATTCTCTGGCTTTTTGTAGACCATTATGCATGAGCTGTTCCATGTGCTTGGATTTTCCAAAGAGCTTTTTGACACGTGGAAGGACTGCTCCCATTCATCCAGAAGTCTGTCACTATCTGTTCTGCTGCCTCCTCTTACAATCTGAAAGACTCTGTTACTATTGGTTGCCTTGTTAAGCTTATACCACCTTTTTGCTGCATGCTTCTTTTATATTGAACTGTGACACTAGCCTGGATCATATCAGTGAGGTTCTCACTGCTTATGTGTGTATCACTGTGTCATATAGTTGGGGAGGACTGCTTATCTCATGGTCAGGTGACGAACATAGATGGGACTGGTCAGGTGAGGATCTACACCCCGTCTGTCATCCGTGCCATGCAGAAACATTTGGGGTCCTCTGAGGAAGAGCTGGGTGGCCCTCTGGAGAACCTGGTACTGGTTGCATTCTCCAGTTTGTGCTTTGTGTTGACGTTTGCATGCTTTTTAACATTCACATGTTCCCTCAGTAATTTGATTGCGTATTCATCTCTTGATGTATAATAATAATTGGTACTTTATTGATCCCCGTGGGGAAATTGTTTTTACGCCTCCCTCAACTTGCTCTTTGTAGAGTATAGTGATTTTATAGTGATTGTGTCTTCAGTTGCCATTACTGTTAAACCAGAACTATCTATACTGTATGTCTTAATACTCCTGTCATTTGGGCTGTCATAATGGCCTATACACTGTATGTCACCCACTGCCAGACTCTGGTCTGCATCTAGACCAAAACACAATTGACTCCAGACCCTGCAGTCGACCCCCCCCCCCCTCAAGCTGGCAAATTTTATCATGGGAGGACACCCCACCTCAGTTTCACACATTTTTGTGCTGCTGGTGGAAATAAAATAGTTGTGGTCCTCTGTTATGCACTGACTAGTACTCACCTTGCACTGTTTATATGTACTCTCTTGTACTCAGTTGTACTCACCTTCTTTCCCTCAGGCAGCCAATGAGCCTTCATCGCACTGGGAGGCCCGGGTTCTGCAAGGGTCTATTATGGCAGCAGCACTGGACAGACCGGAATTGGTGCGTGTTGATCCACTTACCTTAGCTGCCTTGCAGGATACCGGCTGGTACTATGTCAACCAGAGTGCAGCTCAAAGGATGGAATGGGGAGAAGGTGAGGAGATCGGAGTCAGGAGAGCATGTGGAAAGGATGGTGATTGGAAAGAGTGAGAGACTGAGGAGGGGAAAAGAGGAACTACTGCACCGATGATATACAAAGTGGCATGAACCGTTTTGGATGCAAAATGGAATATACATTATATTGAAATTGTTTTAAAATAGAATTGAAGTTACCAAATTGCCCATAAGTGTGCATGTGTGAGTGAATGATGTGCCCTGTGACAAATTGGACTCATAGCGTCCGGGGTAGGCTCCAGACCCCCCCATAACCCTGAATAGGACAAGCAGGTATAGAACATGTATGTATGTATGTATGTATGTTCTAAAATAACAATTGTTATAACACAAATCTGTATTTAGGGTAACACTGTGTTTCAGCTGTTAGTACTGTTGCTTCACAACTTCAGGACTGGGAGTCTGAATCCTACCCCCCTCCCCACCATGTGTGGGGAGTTTACATATAATCCCCATGTTTATGTGGATTTTATTCAGGTTACCCCAGTTAGGTCCTGCAATCCAAAAGCAGACATTATGGAGAACTGGCATTTTAAAATTTCCCATAGTGTGTGACATAGGGCTGGATTAGCCTTAAGACATTTGTTGTGAATGTTTAGAACAGATGTGGGCAATCTTATCCACAAAGGGCCGGTATGTGTGAAGGTTTTTGCTGCAACTCCCTAATTAGATTGCTAATTAGAGGACTGATTGGCTGAACCTGGGTTTGAGCAGTTGACCTAAAGGTTATCCCAAAAACCTGCATATATACTGGCACTTTGCAGATAAGATTGCCCACCTCTGCTTTAGAACATCTGTGAATATACCAGAAAGTGCAATGTGAGCAAGCGTCACTTAGTGGTTGTGTTCTGTACTGCATGTGTCTGCTGTGAGTAAGTCTGTGTTTACATCTACTTGAGGGCAAGGGTCACTGTTTGGGTCCTTGGCCACCTGTCATGACAACTCATCCACCTTCTTCTGCACAGGCAGGTAATATAATCACCTTTTACATATGTATAAGTTCTATGTAGAAGATAGAATTTTGTGTTGTGAACCATTTTATGTTTAGTCATGAAATGACCATTCAAAAACCATTCTTGCTCTCTCCTTTTGTGCTCCTGTAACAAGTGGATTAGGTTGTCATTACCTTCATTTCCACAAGGGGGTGTGCCAGAGTGATCAGTATTTGGAAGGGTGTCGCATTTACAAGCCTCTGACTAATGAGGTGTGTATCCTTTTATCTCTATCTCAGTCTGTGTTTGATTTCAGTTTTTAAGCTCATTTATGGATTTCACTACAACCCCGTCTGTGTTTTTCTGTGACTCTGCTCTTCCCCTTCCTGGGTCCTGCAGAGCGAGTGCTCGAAGGAAAGCAACGATAAGATAAATAAGGCAGAGGAATGGAGTGGAGAAATCTATAGCCCAGAGAGCCGGTGCTTTTTCTCCAACCTGAGCAGAGAGGTCAGGTTTTTTATGGTGACTGCTATTTGTTTTTAAATGTTCTTTTTGATTATTACCTGGTTATCTACAACCCCAATTCCAATGAAGTTGGGATGTCGTGCAAATTGTAAATATAAACAGAATGCAATGATATGGAAATCTCATGAACCCATATTTTATTCATAACAAAACATAGAAAGCACATCAAATGTTTAATCTGAGAAAATGTATCATTTTAAGGAAAAGACAAGGTAATTTTGAATGTCATGGCAACAACACGTCTCAGAAAAGTTTGGACAAAGCCATCTTTACCACAGGGTGGCATCCCCTCTTCTTTTAACAACAGTCTGTCAACGTCTGGGGACTGAGGAGATCAGTTGCTTGAGTTTTGGGAGAGGAATGTTGTCCCATTATTGTCAGATACAGGATTCTAGTTGCCGAACTGTCCTAGGTCTTCTGTGTCGTAATTTTCGTTTTATGATGCGCCAAATGTTCTCAATGAGTGAAAGATCTGGACCACTGGCAGGCTAGTTCAGTACCCAGACCCTTCTTCTACGAATCCATTATGTTGTAATTGATGCAGTGTGTGGTTTGGCATTGTCATGTTGGAAAATGGAAGGTCTTCCCTGAAAGAGATGTCGTCTGGATGGCAGCATATGTTTCTCTAGAACCTGGATATACCTTTCAGCATTGATGGTGCCTTTCCAGATATGCAAGCTGCCCATGCCATATGTACTAATGCACCCCCATACATCAGAGATGCTGGCTTTTGAACTGAGCACCGATAACACGCTGGGTGGTCCTTCTCCTCTTTAGTCTGGATTATACGGCATCCCTGGTTTCCAAAAAGAATTTCAAATTTAGATTCGTCTGACCACAGAACAGCTTTCCACTTAGCCACAGTCCATTTTAAATGAGCTTTGGCCCACAGAAGATGTCAGCGCTTCTGGATCATGTTCAAATACAGCTTCTTCTTTGAATGATAGAATTTTAACTGGCATCTTTGGATGGCATGGCGAATTGTCTTCACTGATAACATTTTCTGGAAATATTCCTGAGCCCATTTAGTGATTTCCATTGCAGAATCATGCCTATTTGTGAGGCAGTGCTGCCTAAGGGCCCGAAGATCATGGGCATCCAGAATACTTGTCCCTTACACACAGAGATTTCTCCAGATTCTCTGAATCTTTTGATTACATTATGTACTGTAGATGATGATATTTTCGACCTCTTTGCAATTTTTCCTGAAATTGCTCCACTATTTGTCAATGCAGTATTAGGGGGATTGGTGATCCTCTGTCCATCTTTACTTCTGAAAGACACTGCAACTCTAAGACGGTCTTTTTATACCCAGTCATGTTACTGATTTGTTGCCAATTGACCTAATTATTTGCAAATTGTTCCTCCAGCTGTTGGGTTTTTGTACCACTAACTTTTCCAGCCTCCTATTGCCCCCGTCCCAACTTTTTTGAGACGTGTTGCTGTCATGAAATTCAAAATGAGCCAATATTTTTCACTAAATAGCAAAATGTCTCACTTTAAACATTTTACATGTTTTATATATTCTGTTGTGAATAAAATGTCAGTTTATGAGGTTTCTATGTCATTGCATCCTGTTTTTATTTACAATTTGCACAACGTCCCAACTTCATTGGAATCGGGGTTGTATTATTGCATGTTTTATATACACTGCCTGGCCACTTTAAAGGGGCCCTAATATGCAAATTTTTGGGGTATACTTCACTAGATTTGCATGCTCCCGGGGGGCCGGAGCCCTGTACGTGTTTGGGTTTCCCCTCATTTAACACACCTGATTCAACTACTTGTGATAATTACTACACAGCTCTTGAGCTGAATCATTTGTGGTGGAACAGGGAAAGAACTAAGCTACATAGGGCTCTGGTCCCCCAGGACTGGAGTTTGACACCCCTGGTCTATAACCTTCTGAAATGCGTAAAAGCCCCACCCTGAAGAGTCCAGTGTGCTCTGATTGGTCTGCTTGCCCTACATGTTCTGCCCTTGTTGGAAAGTGTTGCTACACAGGCTGCAGGATTTCTGAGGGTGTGCCAAGCTCGCAGGTAGGCAGCCATTGTGTTACAAGATGACCTGACCATGTCATGGAAGTAACGGCTGGAATTCCAGTGAGGTGTTTGAGGCAGATTACAGAATAGTGGTTTCTGTGGTGAGAGTTACTCCCTTTGGTGTCTGCTTTGGGCCTTAAGTCTTTGCAGACCGTTTACATTCACATAAAGCTATATAACACACTAAAGGAAAGGGAAAAACTGGAAGAGCATAACGGGGCCCATTTACCATTTCACTGGATTACCTTTAGCTTTGATTACAGAGCACATCTGTCGTGGCATTGTTTCCAGGAGCTTATGCCACATCACAAAATGTATTTTCATCCAAATTTGCATGAATTTTTCAGCAAGATCTTGTATTGACAATGGGAGAGTCATATCACTGCATTGTCCTCTCCAGCACATCCTAAAGACTTTCAATAGGGTTAAATTCAGGACTCTGTGGTGGCCTAATCATATGTGAAAATGATTCCTCAGGCTCCCTGCATAAACCACTCTTTCACGATGCGAACATTCTTGGCATTCTCCTCGTGAAATATGCCTGTGCCTTTAGGGAAGAAAAAACCCATTGATGGTATAACCTGGCCATTCAGTAGATTCATGTATTCAGCTGACTTCACTTTATTGCTACATAATATTGTTGAGCTGTAATAATGATTCAGTCATTGGGTTTTAAGTATTTACTGATTTAAATTCAAATGCCGATTTTTATTTTTTTTGGCCAGGCAGTGTGGTTATACTGCATTTAAACTACATTTTGTGATAACTCCTGAATAACCATAATGATAGGAATGGAGTACACAGCCTTATAAAAATATAACACTGCTTTACTTTCATTCTGCCCACAGAATATTTCTCGTTCTGTAAGTGATTCACCAGCGGGTCGGTGTTACAGGCATCGGTGTACTGGGATAAACCAGTACGAAGTAAAGGTGTCTGGTTCTGAATGGATGGACTGTCCTGTTGGCACTTCTATTCAGGTAGCGGGGGTGATGTACCCAGATAAGGGGCATTTCTGTGTTGTACATGCTACCCGTGGCCCTAGAAGAGCATGTGTGTCTCTGGGCTGTTTTATCATATGAATGTTTGAGCTGTGGATCCCAACTCTTGGCTATGTTATTATGCAATGCATGTGATGCATCTCCGTATTTCCATTGTTTCAAAGGTCCCAGGTTACCGTGGGGTTGTCTCCTGTCCTGATAAGGGGCTGTGTCTCTCCGCCCCTCCCCCACCACAGGACAGCCCTTTCTATCCGGCCACTCGCATTCTTGGCTCCTTCGCCACTGACAGGTGTGTCTTCATTATGTTGTTCCGCCCTCCTCTATTTTGTTACTCTAATGTAGCAGTCTTTTGCTGTGACTCTATAATGATAATATTTGGGTGTTTGGTTTAGTGTAAACCTGCTGCTAATCTTTCGACACGTATCTGTACCTTCTTCTTACTGTTCCTAGGCCCTCCACAGATGCACCCTCAGCCCTGGACTCTCGGCCTCTGACCTCTGACCCTGCTCCCTTTACTACGGGTTGTGCCGATGGCCCTGCACACATTCAGAGCAGCTTCCTTCTGGGCATAGTAACTGCCCTGTGTCTTCTGGCTCTTCTCAGCATTCTTCTTTTGGTTTACAGGAAACGGTGTTTTTATGGAGTGAGGGTGCATGCTGTTACATACATACCTCTTGTCCTGTAGCAAAATAATTCAGCCCCTTAAACCAAGTTAGTAGTGTTAGGTATTACACTACATATGGCCATATTTTGGGCTACCTGAGCTCCTGTACAGGTAGCTGTTCATGCAGTTCGTGGGTAACTGAGTCCAGAGAAGAACGACGTGAGTGAGATTGTACACCTGCTCTGTTTCCTCAGTAAAACAGTGTTCATTTAATGTATAATTCTCCTCCTCATTTGGGGACCTACTTCAGTATAAACAACAGAAGGGGGCGGTGTCTGCTTATGATTGGAGGGTTGCTGGTTTGAGTCCAGCCTCAGCAGAACAGTCGCGTCTGTGGGCCCTTGAGCAAGGCCCGTAACCCCCAGCTCCATGGTGTTGCTGCACTTTGCTGCCAAGCTTACTTTCACCTACACACATCTGTGTCTCAGGCAGGGCAAGATGAGGCAGCCAAAAAGAGGGTTTCCTCACAGAGATCAGTAAAGTATCATCATTTAATTTTAAGTAGGGGAGGTATAGATGGTGTAGTGCTAGAATATAATGGAAGAACTGTTCTCTTTTTCACGTTGTTTTTTTCTTCACTTTCACATCTAATTAAAGTGACCAGACTCTCACAGTGGGTTGAGCGTCATTTCTTTCCTCAGTAAGATATGACATACAGTTATCTAATAAATGGTGTATTACATGTACTCCGAAATTTTTCATCCCACGCCCCCCGAAATAAGTGTCAGAGACTCGTCACCCAAGTTGTGCTTCCATCCTAGGTAGAATCCCAAATTGGTTTCAGTTACAATTAAAATGGAATTTGTTCACATTTTTAAATGGAAAACACAGCCCTCAATGGTGTCTTGCGACCTCTCTGGGCTTTGGAACCGCCACTTTGGGAACCACTGGTCTATTACACTGGGCACGGAGCATTTAGTTAAAACTGGGTGTCTTTGGGCAGTGGCAATATCGCAGCATATAGGGTTTAACTGAGTTGCAATTACTACCTATTGAAAACTAAACCCAATCACCCAGTAAGTGTATTTGAAAAAGTATTGGCTTCAGCTATTTTTTTGGTCTCCTTTGAGATTGACTATAAAATTTGCAGTTTCCAAAAATACACTGGTGGATACAGTGCCTGGTCCATTTATTAGGCACACCTTGCTAATACCGGGTTGGACAATTTTTTGCATTTAGAGCCTTAATAGGACGTCATGAACGATAAGGCAGCTTAGAAACGGAGCACCACCAGAAAACGAAAAATAAGTGACAATTATAGGTAACACGTTAAAAATTTAAATAAACCCCCACAAAATGACACAACTATGAGACAAAGACCTCTCAATAAAGATACATGGAGAGAAAAAGAAGATAAACAAAGACCGCCAAGTCCAGCCAGCTTAAATACCCTAGCTAGCAGCTAAAACCAGCCAGACTTAATGCTAATGGAAGAGTTAAAAACGCTACGTAAAGAAAATCAAGATGGGCATAATCACACCAAGATGACTTTTGAGCGACTGGAACAAGTGATTACTGATATAAAACATCAAACAGCTAAACATGAAGAGTGAATTGGACAAATAGAACAGAGAGTTGGCACGACTGAAGACACAGTCACACGACACCAAAGGGCGCTGCAATACCTGATCCACCGTGACCTGATCCATCTCTCAGAAAAATGTGAGGATCTCCAAAACAGATTGACAATAACAATATAAGGATTTACCAGATCCCAGAGGGAAGTGAAGGACATCATACGATTGGATTGGTACAAGAGTTGCTCCGAGAGACACTGAAAATACCATCGTAAAGGGATATTAAGATTGAGAGAGCACATCGCGTATTTAGACCTAGACCTAACCGAGATAGCAAAATCTTTCTGGCCCAGATGTGGCTCACATACCACATGGAATGACGGCAATTGAGCAGACCGCTCTCGGTTGCCGCATCAGGTTAACATCTGGGCCAGAGTAGGGCCTGATGTTAGCCACAGTTAGCCAGGCTCTGTTTGAGATCTGACCCTATTGTGGCCCATTATCAGTTTCTGAACCTCACAGATGTTAGCCTCATAAGAGCTACTTTTCAACAGGAACTGCATACAGTCCCTGATCAGGCTTCAAATGTGTTTAAAAACAAAAGTCCAACAAAAGTCAAATTTTGAATTTGAGAAAAAAAATCAAACCAATGTCCATGGATGTCTGGGTACTGTCTTCTTGAGGTGGACACACCCTTTCCATTTACAGCATTTAGCAGACACTTCTGTCTAGAGCAACTTTCATTTTCAATTTGGGCTTAAAGGTCTTGCCAATAAGCCAATGCTAGTATAGGTGGGACTCAAACACACAACCTTTTGGTTCCGAAGCAAGCATCCTAACCATTAGACCACGAACACGCACTCATTTTCCTGCACCTACCACTGGGAAAGTATTTTCTTGGAAGTAGTCCCATTCCCAGTTGCATAAAAAGTAAATACTTTACCAGTATTGAGATGCATCAAAAATCACTGTGCAGTTCAATTATTGACAGACCAATTGAATTAAAACAACAAACCACCCTTCCTTATATATTCCATTGCAATCATTTTATTGGTCCTATTACAATTTATTTGATGCAGTGAGCAACTACGGAAAATCAATGTTAACTGCCTGTTGGCCCTAAAATAATGCAGCTAGTACTACACTGTAAACCCGAGTAAGTTCAGAGTACTCAAAACTTTTGTCGTAACCGATTACCTAAGAAAATTTAAGTATCTGTAATTTTTTTTTAGGTATATTGTAATTTAAAAATATACATGTTTTACTCATGTTTTCTATTCAATAAATTTTAAGTTTGCTAAACTTATATATTGTATCACTACATTATTATTTCTTTAATCTGTACTTGCTTAATTAAACTTATTCAATTACACTAAATAAAAATAAGTTCAACTGACTTGACCATAACCCAATTTCATAGTACAAAACTTATTGCTTTTGGAAAAATCTACTCAAAAAATCAAAGTGCGTTAAACACCAAAACAAATGAAAACCTATCCCATATAATGAATGGATTTAAAATAAATTCTCAAAAATATAGCCTCCATTGTTACAATTCAAGTTATTTATTAAGGTTCTAAAGCAACTTGCATTTATCATTAACAATTATTAACGGATATACAGTACTGTATAAATCACAAGTGAAAATTTTTAACACTTTAAGAACATATTTAAAATATGGCAAAACATTTTATCCAATATCAGTTCTCTCTAACCAATACATCTCCCTTCATTTCTCGTCGACAAAGAGCAAAGGTTGTCTTTTTCTATTAATAACTGGTTTAAACTTGTATGATTTGCAGTCTCATCTGTTCCAGAGTAGCCTCATTCTCTCCTTTTGGATATTTGGGAAGGAAGTATACATGTTATGAGAGTTAACTTTACCTCTTAACCAGCTTCATTTTATGCTGCTTATTTACAATCGTTAGATTAGCCAGTCTCTAAAATGAAAGTGAAATTACTTAAATGCATTTTTTAAAAACCCAGTGAAATGACTGCCTCAACTATAAGGGTATTTTACAAATCGCCAAAACTCTTCTAAACAGCTAGAATAAAAAAACTAACTAAAGTAAACGGATTAACTCTGAGTACTTCTACAGTCATGATGATGTGGTTGCCCTATGATAGCTATGCTAAAAGTTAACAATAAAAAATGAAACCCATTTATTTACCGGATAAGAATGCTTTAGCTGGGCCTGTAGTTATTTCCATGAATACAGTCAAATGTTTTACTCAAGAAATCTTCTTGCCTTCTTAAGTGGTTTTTGTTCTCTTGCCCTATTCATCACAATCGCAGTGGGTTAAAAAATCTGTTAAGTCAAAGCCAGTACTGTGTCATGCTATGTAAATATACATCCAGCACCATTGGTCCACAGTGGAGTGGGTGGTACCAGGAGTTGTACAGAAAAGGGTATCACAACTGTCCTAACACCTTTCCACACCCAAGGGCAGGACTGGTAATCAAATACACCCCCAAACCATTAAAACATATACCACTCTGGAGACATGCCCAGAAATTTAAGAGTTTTTATGTGACTCAATATAGACATAAAACCACACATCAGGAAAAAAACACCAAGTCCACAGCTTGCTATGCTTCAATATACAACAAGAAAAAGCTGGAAGGCCCTTTTTGGTCAGACACCATGCAGTGTTGATTTAACACTGGCACATTTGCTGTCTAGATCACATCGTAGGTCTTTTTGTGATCAATTTCTCTTGTAGCTTCCTCAAAGAACTCAAATAAATTAGTTAAACAGGATCTACCTCTCCTAAATCCATGTTGGCTATCCCTCAGAATGTTATTTGAATCGGATTCATTCAAATTTAATTAAACAGCTGAATCAGACAGCGACAATTTCCCCATGCATCTGTAAAAGAGTAGATCTATCAGGTTAATATAGAGGCACTCATCCCTGAAGGAGCCAAGAACAAAGGTCATGTTTTAGATTGATTGATTGATTGATTGATTTAGGGGCGGCATGGTGGTGCAGTGGTTAGCACTGTTGCCTCGCACCTCTGGGACCTGGGTTTGAGTCTCCGCTTGGGTTACATGTGTGTGGAGTTTGCATGTTCTCCTCGTGCCGTCGTGGGGTTTTTTCCAGGTACTCCGGTTTCCCCCCACAGTCCAAAGACATGCTGAGGCTAATTGGCATTGCTAAATTGCCCTTAGGTGTGCATGTGTGAGTGTGCCCTGCAATGGGCTGGCCCCCTGTCCAGGGTTGTTCCCTGCCTCGTGCCCATTGCTTCCGGGATAGGCTCCGGACCCCCCGCGACCCAGTAGGATAAGCGGGTTGGACAATGGATGGATGGATGAATGAATGAATGAATGATTGATTGATTAATTCCCTTTATTGCTGTTGCAATTCACCATGCCACTAGTCACAAGTACCAGATTCAGCAATGAAATACAATTTCTTATGTTTAATGTGACATTGCACCTACTATAACATGTAACATTTGCTAATATAATAACCATATTCAAAAAAGGGGATAGAAGTGAATGAATGAATGAATCCAGGTAATCTACCATTTTCACTTGGATTATAGCTTCCATTACTTTTCCAGTTATGCAAGTTAAACTGATTGGCCTATAGTTTGCTGGATTACTTCTATCCCCTTTTTTGAATATGGGCATTATATTAGCATGCTTCCAATCAGAAGGTACCACACCAGCAGATAATGATTTCTGGAATGGTAAAGTTAAAGGTTGGCTAATAATATTCCTCATCTCTTTTAAAATTATAGGTAAGATGCCATCAGGACCATGTGATTTATTTATTTTGAGTTTAGCTAGGCTTAGTACCACATCAGCCTCAGTTATACATATATTGGTCATAGACGACGCTGTATTCATACCAGAGATGGGGACTCGAGTCGCACTTAAGTCGCACAAACAAAGACTTGTGACTTGACTTTAGACACTCCCTCAACGACTTGAGACTTGACTTGGGTGTTGTGACTCGTGAACAATGTTCATTTCATGGACTTATTTATTTCATTATTTCAGTTTTTCCAATGTTGTACAACAGAACTAAAGACGAAATCGGTAGCCGACCGGGCGGCCACGGCAGCGTATACGTAAGACGTGTCACTGATGCATTCGTACCTGCGGGAGTAGTGGAGAGCATGTAATTGCGCAAATGTCTGTTACACCGTTTATCTGTTGCTGTGCGTGATTGACTTAATGGGTAAGTAATTAATATCTTAAATCCTGGTTTGTATTTTATAATAGAACTTTTGATTTTATAATAGAAC